CATACTTTTAGTTAGACATAGACGTGTTTTATATCTACAGACTATCCAAATATTGMATAGAAGCTGGTAAAAACAACGTCTATGAACATCCAAGTTAGTTAAAACTACAAGCAGTTAAAGACAAAATTATAAAAGGGAAATTAAAATTGGTTTAAAAATGTGGCAAGTCAGAGATGTCAAAAAATGTGTGTTAAATAGGAGGCATAATGTGTTTTTGTTGTTGTTGTTTTTGATGTTTAATTATTACTACTTTTATTAGGGTTCTGTATGTTGTATTCGTGATTAAATGCGGCAAAATAAACTATTTCAAAGGTAACAGATCTTTGTAATATTTGGTTTATTTACATAATGACTTTAATTGCTGGATGTTCGGCCCCTGAGCTGTTGTCCTGCAGTATGTGGCCCCTGGAGTGATTTAGTTGAATAGTCCTGAGTTAATTCATTTATAGCAAGTTGCTAAGGACAAAACACCTCAAAAAACGCAAAATCCAGTTTTATGAACATATTAGGTTTTGAATTGCTGATGTTTAGTAAAGAAAATTACAAAGAGAACAAAAACAGTATGAAGTATTTGTCTCATTAAAATGTAATAAAAGCTTAAATAAGTTTGCAGATTGCTGCCTTTGATTGACACCCATTTCATTGTAAGCAAAAAATAGTATTCATCAGAAAATGGTTTCATGTAGAGTATCAGTCATAAAAGTAATGATAGTCTACTGTATACCTTCACACGTTAATTAATGATGAATCATTGTTTAACCCAAACACTCCTCTTATYTATCAAATCTAACCTGTGAGTCTGAGATGAAGGTGYGAAATGCTTGCAGCTGATAATGAAYCCTGAAGCCTTTTAAGTCTGATGCTGACTTGATTCACACTGGTTTATAACATTTATCAGACATCACTCAGCTCAGATCCCTGCATAAACACTAAAGGCTTTACAGTCACAGATAAGCACTGATAATCATCACCTGCACACCCTGAGGTGGAAAATCATTAAAGGTTTGCTACTGAGCTAAATTCTGAATTACTTCCCACTCAGAATGGGATTTTTTTCTGTTTTGTTTCTTATAATGAAAGGATCCTGCACTTGTTGAATAGCTTTGACTGTTAGAGGCTCAGCTGTGCATGGTGTATGCTCACAAGTCATGCTTTTGTTCTTTCTTTTTGTCTCCTTGAATGTTTCAACTAAGAAATTGTATTTTTCAGATGATAAACAAAAGGTCATTTAGATTTTTATGGACAACTAGGGCAACACTGTTGATGTTAGCAACACTTAGCATTGTTTAATTCCCAGATGTCTTCAGATTCCATAGTAGTATTTAGGATGTTTAGAAGATTGTTTTGAAGGGTAGGGGCACTGCTAGAACAATGTTTGAGACTGAGCTTCAAAGGTTAATCAGGTGGCAAAAATCAAAGCAACACTTGAATTAAAACCAGGGTGGGTTTTCAAGAACATTGGGCCTCATGCAAAAACCGTTCGTACGCACAGATTTGTTCTTAAGTTGTG